CACTCACATTTGACCAACTATCCAAAGAAGGTGCAGGATTAAAAAAAATAATATTGGTGGTTGAAAAAAGCAAGTATTCTACCATGGAATCTGCTACTTTACAATTGATCATAAAAGCAATAAAACTCGATTTTGAAAAAGATATCATTTTGTTGAAAATAGATGATCATGAAAAGGTTTCACTATCTTCATTAATAAATGATTATCAGGATATTCTGATTTTTGGTTTATCACCTTCTGTGCTTGGTTTTTTTATTGAGTACAAAGCATACCACATTTTGCAATTCGAAAAAAAACGGATGCTGGTGGCAGATTCACTTCAGGAGTTGAATGTATCAAAATCCAAAAAAGGACTTCTGTGGTCAACATTGCAAAATATGTATCAAGTCTGATCTGCTATGAAATCGCTAATATTTGCTACATCAAATAAACATAAACTGGAAGAACTCAAAGCTATACTTCCTGATTATCAGATACTGGGCTTGGTAGATGCCGGAATCATCGAGGAAATACCTGAAACCGGAGATACCCTGGAAGAAAATGCAATCATTAAGGCTCAATATCTTTTTGATAAAACGGGGTGGCCTTCTTTTGCAGAAGATACAGGTTTGGAAGTGACTGCCCTTGCCGGAGCACCAGGGGTACATACTGCCAGGTATGCAGGAGACCAAAGAGATCCGGAAGCCAATATGGACCTTTTATTACAAAACTTAAAAAATAGTGCCAACAGGTCAGCTAGATTCAGGACTGTCATCGCTTATATTTCAGATCAGGGCACAATGCTATTTGAAGGACAAGTAAGGGGACATATTGCTCTTGAAAAATCAGGTAACGGCGGATTTGGATATGATCCCGTATTCATTCCTGATGGTCACACAAAAACATTTGCTGAGCTCAGCAAAGGAGTCAAAAACAACATCAGTCACCGTGCTCTTGCAGTGCAGTCACTGATGATATATCTACATCAACACATCTAATACAAACATACTCCCGAAAACCACACTTGCAATACCATTTGTCGTAAAAAAAGCTTGATTTACCCTATTCAGATCTGTAGGTGATATGATGCTATGCTGATACACAAGCATGCTAAAAAATATAACCATACCTATCATGACGATGATACCTAATGATAGAGGTTGGAAATATAATGCCATACTCACACTCAACAGTGATGCCGAAATAAAATGCAGGATTTTGGATAGATGCATTGAGTTGACTCTCCCAAATTTTACAGGGATAGAGTATAGCTCGTTTTCTTTATCAAATGATTCATCCTGTAGCGCATAAATGATGTCAAAACCTGCGACCCAAAAAAGTACAGATAAACCTATCAGCACCGGTGGTAGTGCAAAACTACCAGTAACAGCCAAGTAAGCGCCTACCGGAGCTAAGGACAGACCTAAGCCTAAGACTAAATGGCACAAGACTGTAAACCTTTTGGTATATGAGTAACCCAATACTATCAGCAATGCCACAGGACTCAACCAAAAACAAAGAGGATTGATAAACCAGGTACAAGTTATAAATAAAATACAATTGGCCATCACAAAAATAAGTGCTGCATCCGCCTTGATAATACCTGACGGGATCTCTCTAATGATAGTTCTGGGATTTTTTGAATCAATATCCTTATCCAACCATCTATTGAACGCCATAGCGGCACTTCTTGCAAATACCATACATAGTACAACTAAAAGCAAGACCTTAAAGTCAATTGTACCACCTCGTAACATAGTACCGGAAACAAAACCCACCATAGCAAATGGCATGGCAAATATGGTATGACTGAATTTGATAAGTGACAGATAATTTTTCAATCCTTTGGGTATATTTCTATTATTGAACACCAACAAAAAAGGCTGTCCTTTGGTTGAACAGCCTCTTATATATTTTTGATATGACCAGAATTATTTACCGGCTTCGTCCGCTTTTTTGTTTACTTTACCTTTGATCTCTAAGTAAGTATCCATAGGATCAGTATTAGCCGTAATGGTGACCCTTTTTGAATCATCTTTTCCTCCTACTGCACCTTTTCCTTTAGAATCGTATACCACTTTGATCTCACCTGATTTACCTGGTGCGATAGCATCTTTTGGCCAGTCAGGAACAGTACATCCACAAGTAGCATTTGCTTTAGT